CATTTTTTACCGCGTGGCAATTTGAGCAAGAGCCGATTTATGGTGCATCGCCTACGAGGACAGGACCGCAGAGGTACGACTTGATATTCTTGATTGTACAGCGCCAATTTGTTCTTCTTACGTATTTTGCGCACCAAGTCCAAAAGAAATATTTTCACATTCGCTGACTTGTTCATATTACATACTGCACTCAACTCCAAGAGAGAAATTTTTATATCGCCGAATTCTCTCTATTGTACGTTTTGCGCATCATTCTCAAAAAATTATTTTCACATCCCTTCATCTTCATCTGAATCATCTGTTCAATACCTTTATACTCTGTGCTATAACAAACAAAATTAATTTTGGGTATGACAGGACCAATAGCCTTAAAATCTCAAAAAGCGCTACTAACTAGGTACTGTAACAATTTGAACAAAGTCATCGCAAAAGCGCAGAACATATCCGAGCAAGGCATCGCGACATTTTTTGATCAAGATAGACGAGAGAACGCGCTACGAATCATTTTCGAGTTAAAAGCCACATGTAAAATAGTTGTGGATAATTTATCAAACTTTACGCAACTGGTAGATAGCCTTGTTGACACTTTATCAGAAGACCAAGAAAATACAACTCAAGAATACATTGAAGTTGCGCATGCAGTTATTGACCAAGCGCAGAGTTTAGCAATCCAGTTGGAAGCGCTAGCGCATAGTACAAGCAATCATGAGTCCCCGGGTACGGTAGCGGAAAATAGAGGGAATGGTGGAATGGGGCAGGCAAGCATAGAAAGGCCAAAGCTACCTGCGATTCCAATACCCATCTTTTCCGGAAAATCGTGGGAATTTACTAATTTCTGGACGCTTTTTGAAGCAAATGTAAATTCTCAGGCACTATCCAACTTACAAAAATTCAACTATCTTTTGAGTGCGCTCCGGGGAGAAGCTCTAGAATCAATAAGGCGCTATCCAGTAACCGAAGAAAATTATGACCCGGCCATACAATTACTCAAGAAAAAGTATGGAAATGATTCGCAACTAATCTCGCGCTCACTGTCTAGACTTGAAAATATCAAAGCACAAAATCAATCAATCACTGCGCAAAGACAACTTCTTGAACATATCATTCCTCTAATCACACAACTACAAGCGAAAAGCGTGAATTTAAATGGCTCATTTATAGCGCACAAAATACTCTCGAAATTTGCGATCAGAATTCAGCGCAAAGTCCTAGAGAATAGAGTACATGAAAGAACGAAAGAAGCAGATTGGAAAATGAAGGAAATTATTGACGAGTTAGATGAAATCATATCCACAGAAGAGCACATAAATGAAATGTTGCAGATCACTGAAATATACCCTAAAAAATCAGAAAACTACGTCCTACGTCAAAATACAAGTCGCGCTAGCAAACCGCCATTCCCATGCATGTTTTGCGCGTCATCCGATCACACAGCTTTGAACTGCACAAAGTATGCCACATTATCGGAGCGGCGATCAGTATTTCAACAAAACAATAAATGCCTCAACTGCGGCAGACAAGGGCACTTTGCAAACGCCTGCACTAGAGAGGGATGCAGATCATGCGAAGGCAAAAAACATCACTATACTCTTTGCCCCCAAAAACAGAAAAATAGAACCCCATTTCCCAGGGCTCCAAATTTTTCAAGCTTTAGCAACAATAACAGAAACCAAACAAAAGAAAGGGGCAAGAAACCAGAAAACAAGGTTCGGGCGCAAGTAGTGCAAACAAATATTGATGATAATGCTGACCTCAAAAAGAAGGAAAGCAACGAAACTATGGTTTTTCATTGCGAGGAGCATGGAAAGCAGGTTTTCAATGCTCAGGTCTTATTATTGACTGGGATAGCCCGAGTAAAGGATATGGAGTCAGGAAAATGGAAACATGTGGAAGTACTTCTTGACACGGGGGCGGACCAATCGTTTATAAACGAAAAGCTAGCGCACGATTTGGGATTACGCTGCAAGGAAACAAAAACATTCACGATGTACACATTTGGCGCCAAGAATCCGACAACGACAACGTGTGGAGTGACAACGGTAGATCTTTTGGATCAAAGAGGGGAAAAACACAATATGCAACTATGCGTGACACCGGCACTGATGAGTCAGGGAAAAGCAGTGGACCTCTCCCCAAAAGATGCCGAGTTTATCGCCAAGCACAAGATAACCTTGTCAAAAGGCAATCTTAAGAAAGATTTTGTACCTCAAATCCTACTCGGCTGTGACCAGTTATGGGAACTATTAGATAGCACTCGTCCCCAATACACCTTGCCTTCAGGATTGAAACTTATCCCGTCTAGGCTAGGCTACTTGCTCACAGGAAAACAGGACGACATGCAAGGTATACATTGCGCATTTCCCACAGTCAACGCAGTGAATATTTTCATGAATTTCGAAGAAGAGCTAGCAAGATGGGATAAGTATTGGACAATCGATTCGGCGGGGATTTATGAGTACATGGGCACAAAAAATGCAGAAAAGGAAGCAATCAACAAAAAAGTGGCAAGCTTTTTTGAACAGACCATTGAGAAACGAAGGGATGGGTACTACGTGCGTCTACCCTATAAAGAAAACCACCCTTCACTTCCATCGAACAAGGCGATTGCTTTGAAAAGACTACAAAACTCGCTGGAAATGTTGAAGTCGAGGCCAGAACTTTTGGAAAACTACGACCAAACCTTCAAAGACCAAGCAGAAAAGGGAATTATAGAAGAAATTCCCAATGATAAAGCGCTTGAAGGAAAAATCCTACATTACATCCCCCACCAGGCAGTTGTGACACCTCATAAGGAGACAACAAAACTGCGCATTGTCTTCGACGCATCGTCTCATTACAGAGAATGTCCATCTTTAAATGACATTCTTCACCAGGGCCCTCTAATCCTGCCCGAAATATATGAGATGCTATTGAGGTTTCGCGCGAATAGATACGTACTAACCGCAGATGTGGAGAAAGCGTTTCTCCAAGTGCGCTTGAATGAATGCGATAGAGACGCGACACGGTTTTACTGGGTTCGAAATACTAGCGCTCCGGTAGATGACAATAATATAGTCACTTACCGCTTCACAAGGGTGCCGTTTGGTTTAAACGTATCACCGTTTCTATTGGCAGCAACCGTCAACCACCACTTACAGAGCATAAGCGCAAACAAAACCCTGGCGGAAGAAATAAAGAAAAACCTTTACGTTGACAATATCATATTAGGCGCGGAATCAACCGAAGAAATACAAAAGAAAGCTGAAGATGCTCGAGACATTTTTACTGGAATAGGCATGAACTTGAGAGAATTCCTCTCAAATTCTGTTGCAGTGCGCGAAAAAATACCAACCGAAGCCTGCGCGAAGGCTACGGAACAGAAAGTGCTCGGGATAACCTGGAAAGCGCAAAGTGATGAGCTAATCATGCACTGTAAGATGGCTTCCACCTCTCTAGTCACAAAACGAGAAGTAGCAAGACAAATTGCCTCCATTTATGATCCGTTCGGATGGTTGATTCCTCTGATAACGCGAGCGAAACACTTCCAACAAGAACTATGGAAACAAAGATACAGCTGGGATAAAGCATTACCAGAAAATCTCGCCCAACAATGGGAAGATATCATTCTGAACGCAGATGGGTTTCAGCGCAAAATTCCTAGAATGATATTACCAAAATTGGAAAATATCAAACTGGCGATCTTTGCGGATGCGAGCGAAATTGCTATGGCAGCTTGCGCGTACATTTTCGACCTGGGAAATGCGGCCTTAGCTATGGCAAAGTGTAGGCTACCTTCTATAAGATCTGTGTCAACAATTCCAAAAATGGAAATGAATGCGCTAACCATAGCGGCACGACTCGCACTATCCATCCACAAAGCGCTGCTAGAATGTAAAACAATCAATAAAATTTCACAAATCTACTTATTCTCGGATTCTCAGATCGTTTTGAGTTGGGTTGCGAACACATCTAGCGGTGCAAGCGCAGGGGTACTCATCAACAATAGATTGAAAGAAATCCGGAAAATTGTACTGGCATTGAAAGAAGAAGGCGCAGTAACGACTTTCAAATACATATCCTCTAAAGATAATCCTGCGGATGCGGGAACAAGAGGCTTAACTAAAACTCAGCTGGAAAACCACTTCTGGTGGCACGGTCCAGAATTTTTGCGCACCCCCATAGACACATGGACCCTGCCCACCTATGAAATGGAACGACAAACCGACACAGAGACTCAATGTTTTGGGATCACAACATCTCCCACAGCTGAAATACAAGATCAGCAAAGTGATCTACTGGATCTCAAAAGATTCAGTTCATTTGCAAAAGCCAAACTAGTTACAGCACGCGTTCTCATATTCATAGGGAAATTACTGCGCAACCTGCCCCCTTCACGGAAAAACAAAATTATCGAGAAAATCCCTGAACTAAAACTCATCTTCTCGGATTTACATATAAATGGGACCACGATCAAAGCAGCGCGATTAGCTTTGATTAGGAATCACCAAATGCAAATCCTATCTGAAACTTTGCGCAGGTCGCTAGAAAATTCGATGAGGCTCTTTCAAGATAGTCAGAAAATCTGGAGAACTAGAGGGAGATTGGGCAATTCGTCTATAAACGAAAGCGCGAAAAATCCAATTTACATTGGATCAAATACGCAGTTAGCAAAACTTATAATCAGAGAAGCGCACGGCAAATATCATAGGGGAGTTGACCATACTATAGCCACCGTGCGCATGCATTACTGGATACCTAAGTTGCGACAACAAGCAAGGAAAGAAGTTTCGCGGTGCGCTAACTGCAAAAGGTTCAACGGGTTGCCATTTTCCTACCCGTACACATGTGATCTTCCTGAAAGAAGAGTGCAGATAAGTCGTCCATTCCAGCATGTAGGACT